GCATAATAAGGAGTGGATTGGAGCAGTCTGATTTTGAATGCCTCTGCCATGTCCAGCATTTCTCCGGATATGAAGGAGGATCCTCTATCAGTTGTGATTGATTCTGGGATGCCAAATCTTTGGATAATCTGCTCTTCTATGAAAGTGATGATCTCTTGAGATGTAGTAGATTTAACAGCCTTGGCTTCCACCCACTTAGTGAAATAGTCTGTGGCAACAATGATAAAGCAGTGCTGCTGGCTGCTGGCTGGATAGATCTTACCAATGAGATCCATTGCCCATCCTCTCAAGGGCCATGGTTTTACCACTGGATTCATGGGAACTGATGGAGCCTGCTGGACTGGGCCGTGTCTTTGACAAGATTCACACCCCTTGGAATAGTTAATGCAATCTTTCATCATGGTTGGCCAGAAGTAGCCATATCTCCTAATTAACCAGCACATTTTTCTCCCACCTTGATGTGCTCCACAGATTCCTTCATGGGTTTCCCCCATAACTTTCATGTATTCTTTCTTTCCGAGGCACCTTAAGAGCACCTCATCCTTGCTCTTTCGGACCAAATCTTCATTCCACATAAGGTAGTTTAAAGCCATGATTCTGACTCTCTTCTCAGAGGGCAAAGTTGGATATCGTAGATAGGTCATGATAGGATTTCTCCAATCATCTTCAGTGATTGTGGCAGAATTGACATCTATCTCCATCCCTCTGGCCAGAACAGATGGTAGGCTTTTCTTTCCTATCCTGATGATTCTTTGTACACAGTCTTGGGGCATTTGTACACCTGTTGCTACCTGGGCCAATTCATTGGCCGCAAAATTTTCTTCCCTTGGGATATGTTCCCAAGTGGCTTCCCTAAATTCTGTCAGAAGATTCCTAGCTGCCACCAAGTAGACAGCCAAAGAAGGGCTTAGGCACTTGTATTCTCCAGCAATTTGTTTCAAAACTAGCATGGAATCTCCCAGAATTTCCACAGATTGGATTCCTAGTTCTACCAGTATTTCTAAGCCAATTATTAAGGCCTCATATTCTGCCCTGTTGTTGGTGCATTGGAAATCCAATTGGAAAGAGTAGCAGTGTCTGATTCCAAGTGGTTCTTCCAAGACAATTCCTGCCCCTGAAGTTATATCAGTTTTTGATCCATCAAAGTATAACTTCCAAGGTGCAAGATGAACTGAGTAGATAGGATTGTTGAGGCAGGTGTGAGCTCTGGTTAATAGATCTGCATTTGCTATGTCTAAAGAGTCCATATTTTCAATCTCCTCTCCGGGATGATCTGCTAGGAAGTCTGCCACAGCTTGTCCTTTGACGGCTTTCTGAGGAACATATCTGAAGGCAAATTCTGTCAAGGCCAAGGTCCATTTTCCAATTCTGCCTCTTAGCATTGGTCTTGTTAGCATGTATTTGATCAGATCTGTTTTGGCAATGATATAGATGGTGTATGGCAGCATGTAATGTCTGAGCTTTACAGCAGTGAAGTACAAGGCTAGGCAAAGTCTTTCAATTGCAGAATATTTTCTTTCCACTTCTGTTAGAGTTCTGCTTAGGTAATAAACCGCCTGTTCCTTTCCTTCCTTGTTATCCTGAACCAATAAACTTCCAATGGATACTTCTGATGCAGATATATAGAGCTTGAGTGGTCTGCCTCTCTTTGGTGGGGACAGAACTGGTGGATTTGAGAGGTAATGCTTGATTTCCTCAAAAGCTTGTTGGTGCTGTTCTTCCCACTTAAAGGTTTGTTCTTGTTTTAATCTTAACAAAGAAGAGAAAGGCTGGATCTTTCCTGCATAATTGGATATAAATCTCCTTAAAAAATTAATTTTTCCTAAGAGACTTTGCAATTCCTTCTTGTTCCTAGGTGGCAAAGCTTTTATGATGGATTTTGCTTTGTTTTTATCGATCTCTATGCCTCTTTGGTGGACCAAGAATCCTAGGAAATTTCCCGCTTGAACTCCAAAAACGCACTTCTTTGGGTTCATTTTCAGTTTATGTTGCCTCATTCTTAGGAATGCTCTT